TGGTCGACCTCTCGACCCCGGGCATCCGCGTCGAGCCGATGGGCATGCTCACCGGTGACGCCCGCGAGAACGAGGTGTTCTTCACCGACGTGCGGGTCCCGCTCGAGAACGTGCTCGGCGAGATCAACGGTGGATGGCGGGTGGCGATGGCCGCCATGACCACGCAGCGCGCGATCGGGACCGCCGAGATGGTCCCACGCCTGGAGGCGGTGGTCGAGGACGTGACGGCCCTCGCGGCCCGGACGTCGTCGGACGGGCAGAGCGCGCTGGAGGACCCGGTCGTCCGCGACGCCCTCGCCCGCTGCGCGATCGACGTCGCGGCGCTGCGCCGGCTCGGCGAGCGCGCCATGGCCGCCGCGGCGACCGGCCGCGCACCGGGTCCCGAGGTCTCGATCGCGAAGCTGCACTGGTCGGAGTCCGAACAGCGGCTGCACCGGCTCGCGGTCGAGCTGCTCGGGCTGCGGGGCCTGCTCGTCCGCGACGACGAACAGGCCGTCGACGAGGGTTACTGGGCCCACTACTGGCTGTGGAGCCACGCCCTGACCATCCACTCCGGAACGTCGGAGATCCAGCGCAACATCATCGCCGAGCGCATCCTCGGCCTCCCCCACCGGCGGTGAGCGACATGACGAACCCGTTCGACGACGACGATCTCGACGTCCCCCGGTCCGCCCGCTGGGCGGTCGCCGACGACGCGCTCGAACCCCTCCGCGAGCGGCTCGCCGAGGCCGTCGCCCGCCCCGCCGACTTCGCCGCCGGGCTCTGGGATCCCGACGAGCGCGGGCAGAACGACGCCGCGATCTGGCGACGGGTGTGCGCGGAGATCGGTCCGGCCCTCGGTGACCGCTCCCGGCTGGCCGAGGTCGGCTCGATGGCCGAGGAGTCGGGGCGGGCGGCGGCGAGTCTGCCCCTGCTCGGCTCGGCCCTCGTCGCAACCCTCCTCGCCGACGCCGACGCCGCCGCGACCTCCGACCTCGACGCGCTGCGCGCCGGCACACCGGGAGCGTTGCTGTGGGCCGGGCCGACCGACGCGATCACGCTGCGGTTCGAACCGACGGGCGACGGTCGCGGCACGCTCGACGGCACCGTCGAGTTCACCGTCGACGGACGCAGCGCCGAGCTGCTCGTCGGGGTGGCGACCGGCCGCGACGGTGAGCTCCTCGTCTGCCGGGTCGACGGGGCCGTGGCCCGCGACCGTCGCCTGGTGGCCGATCCGACGCGCGACCTCGCCACGATCTCGCTCTCCGGCACGCCCGCCACGGCGGTCGCGCGAGGACCCGGTGTGGGCACGGCGGTCGAGCGGCTCGACCCGATGGCCTCGACGCTGATCGCCCTCGACGCGGTCGGGGCCGCGCGCGCGGCCCTCGAGAAGGCGGTCGCCTACGCCGGCGAGCGCGAGCAGTTCGGCCGGAAAATCGGGTCGTACCAGGCGGTCGCCCACCACTGCGCGACGATGTACCTGCTCACCGAGAACGCACGCTCGCTCGCCCGGGCCGCCGCGTGGGCGGTGGCCCGCGACGAGCCGGGTGCCGCGGTGGCCGCCGCCGCGGCGAAGGCCTGCGCCACCGAGAACGCCGTCGAGGTCGGCAGGCTCGCGATCCAGGTGCACGGCGGTATCGGGATGACCTGGAACAACCCCTCGCACGTGCACTACAAGCGTGCGTGGGTCGATCGGGCCCTCCTCGGCTCCGCCCGACGCCAGCGTGAGCGGGTGGTCACGGCGCTGGCCGCCGCGACCACGCCGACGGCCCGCCCGTCCTACCGGACGCCCTTCTGATGGCGACCGGGATCCGTCTCGACGATCGCGTCGTGCTGGTCACCGGCGCCAGTCGCGGCCTCGGACGCGGGTACGCGGTCGACCTCGCCGGCCGCGGCGCCGCCGTCGCCCTCAACGGCCGCGACCCGGACCGCCTCGACGAGGTCCGGCGCGAGATCGAGGACGGCGGCGGGCGGGCCGTCGTCGCTCCCGGCGACGTCGGGGTACCCGGGATCGCCGAGGACGTGCTCGCCGCCGCCGCCGCGCTGGGCCCGCTCGACGCCGTGGTGAACAACGCGGCGATCAACCGCGACCGCACGGTGGCCAAGATGTCCGACGAGGAATGGTCCGAGGTCATGCACGCGGGCCTCGACGGGACGTTCCGCGTCTGCCGCGCCGTGGTCAGGGCCTGGCGCGCCGCGGGTCGCGGCGGGCGGATCGTCAACACCGCGTCGGTCGCGGGCCTGTACGGCAACGTCGGCCAGGCGAACTACGCCGCCAGCAAGGCGGGGGTGATCGGCTTCTCGCTCAGCCTCGCCCGCGAGGTCGCCCCCGCGGGGATCACGGTCAACGTCGTCTCGCCGCGTGCGGTGACCGACATGAGCGAGTCGATCCCCGAGGAGCGGCGCCGAGCGTTCTACGACATGCAGTCGCGGACCAACACCCTCGGGCGCCCCGGGACGCCCGCCGACGTGGCGCCCGTCGTCGCGTTCCTCTGCAGCGAGGAGAGCGCCTACCTCACCGGGCAGTCGCTCGTGGTGACCGGGACGCCGGGGTCGTCGGTGGGCTGACCTCCGCCGACCCCGGGCGTCCCACGGCCCGTCAGGCGTTGAACCCGCCGCCGCACACGGTGACCTGGCCGCTCACGTAGTCGGACTCGGGGATGCAGAAGAGGTACACCGCGCCCGCCGCCTCGTCGGGCGTACCGGCCCGGCCCAGCGGGATGCCCTTCTCCATCGACTCGAGCAGGTCGGGGTTGACACCGACCGCGAGCTGTCGACCCTCGATGTCGATCTTGCCGTCGCCGCCGGCCGGGACCTCGGTGAGGCGGGTGCGGATGAGCCCGAACGCGACCGCGTTGACGGTCACGTTGTAGCGGCCCCACTCCTTCGACATCGCCCTGGTGAGCCCCAGGACGCCGGCCTTGCCCGCGGAGTAGTTGGCCTGCCCCGCGTTCCCGCCGGTCCCGGCGATCGAGGAGATGTTGACGACCTTGCGGCACGGGACGGGCGTGCCCGCCTGCTTGGCCTGCTTGACCGCCCCGCTGATCACCGGCTGCGCCGCGCGCAGGATCCGGAACGGCGCCTTGAGGTGGACGTCGAGGATGGCGTCCCACTGCTCGTCGCTCATCTTCTGCACCACCGAGTCCCACGTGTACCCGGCGTTGTTGACGATGATGTCGAGGCCGCCGAAGGAGTCGACGGCCGTCGAGACGAAACGTTCGGCGAACCCGTCCTCGGTCACGCTGCCGGGGCAGGCGACCGCGATGCCACCGCCGCCCTCGATCGCCGACACCGTCTCGGCCGCCGGATTCGGGTCGAGGTCGTTGACGACGACCTTCGCCCCCTCACTCGCGAGCTTCTGTGCGATCGAGCGCCCGATACCGCGCCCCGACCCGCTGACCAGCGCCACCTTGCCGTCGAGCTTGCCCATGCCCTGCTGCCTCCCGTGATCCGTGGCCGCCCGCGGGCGACGTGCCGATTCATCATAATGATGATCCGAAGCACGACAAGACAGCCGCAGGTCAGCGCGGAGGCAGCTCGCGCAGCCGGGAGAAGTCGGGCTCGCGCTTCTCCACGAACGCGGCCCGGCCCTCGACCGGGTCGGGCCCCGTGGAGTCGAGGGTGGCCGAGAGCCACTCCATCTCGAGGTAGCGGTCGAGCGGGAGATCCTCGGCGGCCCGCACGAGCCCCTTGGTCAGGCGGAGGGCCTCGGGAGCCCCGCGGGCGAGCGTCGCCGCCAGCTCCAGAGCTTCGGGGAGAGCCTCTCCGGGCGACGCGAGCTGGGTGACCAGCCCCGCGTCGGCGGCTGCCCGGGCGGGGACCCGCTCGCCGGTGAGGAGGAGTCGAGCGGCGCGATGCCGACCGATGAGGCGGGTGAGGAACCACCCCGCCCCGCCGTCGGGCACCAGCCCACGCAGGACGAACGGCGCGCCGAAGACCGCGTCGTCGGCGGCCACGACGAGGTCGCAGGCCAGCGCCAAGCTCCATCCGACCCCCACGGCCGGCCCCTCGACGGCCGCGAGGACCGGCATCGGCACTCGGATCAGGTCGCGCAGCACCTGGTGCCCGAGCGTGAGGCGGGCGACGGGCGCGCCGAGGCCGTGGCCGTGGGCCGGCGAGGACTTGACGTCGCCGCCGGCGCAGAAGGCCCCGCCGGTGCCGGTCAGGACGAGCGCGCGACAGTCCGGGTCCGCCGACACCTCACCGAGCGCCGCGCCGAGCTCGCGCCAGCTCTGCCAGTTCACCGCGTTGCGCACCTCGGGCCGGTCGAGAGTGATCACGGCGACCCCCGGCTGCATCCGATCGAGACGGACCACCGGCTGGTCCATCAGCGCACCCCGCCCTGCACGAGCGTGAGCTCCGGGTCGGCCGATGACGAGCCGTCCGGCGTCGGGTCGGGCGACGCCGCGTCCGCGCTCAACGAGCGCAGGTGCGCGGCCAGGGCTGCGCGCGAGCGCGCCTCGGCCGAGCGCGCCCGGCCGGCGAGCGCAGCACGGTAGAACACGTGCACTCCCTGCTCCCAGGTGAACCCCATGCCACCGTGACACTGCACGGCGGCCTGCACCGCGGACACGTACGCCGCGGCCGACCACAACCGACCCGCCACCACGTCGGCCTCGGCGCCCGCGGTGCCGGCCGCCAGCCCCCACGCCGAGCGGTGGAGCAGCGACCGTGCCCCCTCGACCTTCGCGGACGCGTCGGCGATGCGGTGCCGGATGGCCTGGAACGACCCGATGGGCCGCCCGAACTGCGACCGCTCGCGGCAGTACCGCACGGTGCGGGCGATCACCTCACTCGCTCCGCCCACCGCGTCGGCGTCGAGGAACAGGCTGTGCGCCACGGCCGCCCGGTTCTCGTGGTCGAGCACGTCGGCCCCCGTGCGTACGGCCTGCGGATCGAGGGCCAGCCCGTCGACGGTCACGTCGGCCACCGGCGCCCGGAGGTCGGCGCCGGAGGGCGGGCCCACCGTCACGCCCGCCCGGTCGAGGGCGACCAGGGCGAGGGCAGGCTCGCCCTCGACCGAGATCGGCAGCAGCACCGACGATGCGGAGGCCGCGCCGACGACGCCGCGCACCGAGCCGGAGAGCCTCAGGTCGCGCCCC